AATGTGAAAATGGTAATTAAGGTAAACGGAAATGTGAAAATGGAAATAAGGGTTTTTAAGGGGGTTTTTAAATGTGAAAATGGTAATTAAGGTAAACGGAAATGTGAAAATGGAAATAAGGGTTTTTAAGGGGGTTAAAAAGGGAATTGAAAGGAAAAATGACAAAAGCAAAACGGCTGGGAATGCAAGCGCATTCCAAAATATGAGTAAACAAGATAAAGGGAAAGAATATGAGGTTTTTAAAGGCGTAAAAAAAGGACGAAAACGCAGAAAATTGTAAACACGCAGGAATGCAAACTGCATTCTGACTCATAGGGTAAAAAGAGGAAAAGGAGAAAAAAAAACATTTTATAATTTTATAATAAGAACAGCATACTTTACACCCATTTGCAGCAATTAAATATACCCTTCCTAGAGAAAGCGGAGGAACATCGCGCGATGATAATAATAATCTGCAGCAAGTTAACAGACAGTAGCTTTCAGAGACGCGATATAAAAATGCGCGCTATGAACTCTAACCAGACATGTCGAAGGGCTGTACAGCTGCAGCAAATTCTACAACATCGTCAGTATACTCGAACTATCAAACCGGAACGACCGTGCCCATCTCTTCAAAATCGTTATGCTGAAAGCAATGACGTACGGATCAGATGAGAAAACTGAACAGAAGGGTGCTAGCTGTGAAAGAGCGAAGAATACATGGCGTGTCTCTGAAGGCAATGACGTACAGAAAAATAAATCGGATTCTCCATCAGGTGAGCGGCATGAAATGCCAATGCAGCCGCATGAAAAGTAAAGTACAATGAGCAGGGTGTTGTTCACCTTGGATGTGCCGCTATCTTCCTCATTAGTGAAACATACTCATGAGGAAGATAGCGACCACTCAGGTGACCCCCAAAAAAGTTCCACACGTACACAGAACAAACGATGGGTACTAAAAAAATATGCAATCCAAGTTCGAAAGGCCCAGAATAGCTGCGCTCGGTGCATAGGAGCATGCTAGTAACACTACTGTCGCGGAATACCCACACTGACTGCTAGATCTGTCTTGGTGTACAACAACCACTGTACTGATAAAGCTCATTTGAGCTACCGAAACACAGCTTTTACGATCTATTAGATCAAAAATTATTTTTTTGAAAATTATTTTTTCATACCATAAACGAGGCTCTTTTCTTTTCCTTCCACTAACGGTCTGTGTAATTATTATTTAACCAATGCATACAACTCCATTCTTTAATCTTGATTAACACAATTTTGTTACAAATTTCTCAATTTTTCGAAATTTTGTCGAAAAAAAAGAAAATAGAAAACATAGTCAAATTCTTTAAAAACAAATTATTCGATAATAGCAGCTAAATATTCAAATAACCAATTATCGTCTGCCTTAGAGCATTTACCAAAACATCGTACTGCTTCAAAATTTCACTGTCCTGAAATACGCAAAGATTTAGTGTTTTTTTATTTCGCTGAAAGAAAAAGTACGTCTGCTGGGGCAATGGTTCACCCAGTAATCTTTTCAAGAGTCGAAACAAACCAGTAAAAAAACGCCAGATGATGCAACACTAGTCAAAGCAAAAGGAAAATTTTCTTGCTGCACAGTATGAGAGCGGTCGAAGTGTCCGATAGTAAAGATTAATGTATTAATTTTCTAAGGAGACCTGGATAT